GGGGGGGACGTTTGATGTAATACTATTGGGAAACGTCTCACTTCTGAGTCTTTAATTTATAATTTGTGAGGCAGCGCGGTGGAATGAGGCTCTCGTCAATTTTTGGGCATATTGAGTTATTGGTATCATCTTAAAGCTTGTTCATTAGTATTGCTTTCAATGAAAAAATTACACATCCATCTTCAATAGAAGTGGATATATTTTGATTAAAGGAGGTGGGGGTCACCTGGTTTAAGAGGTAAAATAAGCGAGAAAATGGCCGCCAAAGCTTGGTAAATTTCAAAGCCTGAGAGTCCTTGGAAAATGTAAATTTATATTTTTGTGCCTTTAATTAACGTTTTCAGTGAAATCCTCTAATGAATGTGTTTGTAAATGGACATAAAAGGTGTTGAGCCAAAAAAACCCAATTTTTTAAATAAAAATTGCTAAGCTGGAAGAATGCTGTTTTCTTCGATTTCATTATTTTGACGAGAGCCTGATTCCACCACGCTGCCTCACATTTGTAAATTTCAAGTATTTTCTCGACTGGCTGAGGTATATTTTCCTTCTCAACATTACTTGCAGATATCTGGGTAAATTTTCAACAAAAAAAGACCTGTGTACGTCATCATCCCACGGTGCCCAGACCATGGCGCTCCACGACTGCCTACATTACGTATCTGCCAACTTGATCCTGTGGGCAGCCGCTTCGTTACTGTCCGCTAGCGCCTGTGTTCTCAAAGCAACGGCTCCACAAGTCGACATTGGGCGAACGTCGGACGTTAGTCTGGAATGTCGCAACCCCCACCCCGCCCACGACATTTCCGAGGTCGTCGCCATGAGAATCCTGAGGTGGGAGGTCAACGAATGGAACAGCGTGGCGGAATGTCGCGGAGGTGAGGCAGACGTGAGGATGGAGTCCGAAGACGCCGTCGCTGTGGGAAGTGTGTCGTCTGCTGCCGGCAGCTATCTGCGACTGACCTGGCCTGTGGCGACGAACACAACCATTGGCCACTACCGCTGCGACGTGGTCAGTTTCACTGTCCAGGAGAGCGTGACGTGGCAGAAGAGCCTGCCAGTCTTCATCACCAACAAGAGGTATGCGAGTCTGCAGCTTCTGGGTTTGGTGGTGGAGGAAAACAAGAGGGCGTGCCTGGAGCAGCTGAGCTCTGACAAGCAGGAGATTGTGCAGAACGTCACGGCGACCCTGGAGAACAAGGTCAAGGCCATGGGACAGGTGAGGGATTCTCTTTACTAGTGTTGTCCTTCATGAAGTTAACAGTTTTATTATTCATACTGGGCGGGAAGAAGAAGAAGAAGAAGAAGAAGAAGAAGAAGAAGAAGAAGAAGAAGAAGAAGAAGAAGAAGAAGAAGAAGAAGAAGAAGAAGAAG